ATAAGATATACGATTTACCGTGCATTTGCGTAGCTTTCAGTATGGAGTTTAGTCCTTCAGTAATTCTGTAAACTCATTATTTTTTCTACCGTTACCGCATACCGTAGAAATCGACGTTTACAATTATTTATCTATGCTTCCAGACAAGCATATACTTGGCTTTGGTAGTGGAATGGAAACAAACATTTAAGTTTCTGACGTTTGAAATTACTACAGTATTTCCTCACTAGCGTGACAAACACCATGGGAATTGAGTGATAATTTGACGGAAGCTCTATAAACATGGTCAACGTTCATACATTTTTTTAAGCAAATTAAATGTTGACATTTCCTAAAGAATACCAAAAAGATAATTTATGAGGATAGGTGTATTATATGAGATGGATTGAGAATGAAACCGCCTTGGCAAAGAATCCTCGAATATAGATATTTCCGTCGTACAATTGGCTAATGAAGGAATTAAAATCAAAACAAAATATTACTGAAAATAAGCAATTAAGCAAACGATTGATATTATAAAACGTGGTAGGTCCATGTCATTAATGTACCCATATGTTTTCCTGTGATTGCAAATATACATTGTACATTCTATAATTTCATGCCTGTCCTTTGAATATATTTGAAATTGGTATTTACTGAAAGCAGTCATAAATACCGTAAATTATGAAAGATTTTACCTCAATTATTGGAAAACGCAATTAAGCAAACGCCTGATGTCATTAAACGTACTATTCCATATCATTAATGTCCCCATATGTTTCCCTATGATTTCCAATACTTTGCGCATTCTATAATTTCATGTCGTTTGAATAGATTTGAAATTACTATTCGCTCATATCAGTTATATATACCATAAATTATGAACACTTCCTCAATTACGTTATCATATTATATCTTTAATCATGTGCGATGTTAAAGCTGGTTTCCTCAAAATCGCTACACTATCGCAACATTATTTTCAATGCAGTCGCTACTGGGTTTTCACTGCAATCCTTGCACTGCGTAGCTGTCCCTGACGCAATAAGAAAGGCTCCCTGTTTCAAGTGACCAATGAGCGTCGTCAAAGGAGTCGACGATAGCGTGTAGTGATTTTTTTTATAGAAACCAGGATTCATTGAAAGCTGTCGGCGATAGCCTGTAGCGATTGTATGGAAACCAAGCTTTAAAGAACTGTTCATGTTGAACTAATAAACGTCAGCGATGGCGTCTAATGGACCTTCCGGAGTATGAATCAACTTTAGCAACCCACCAATCAGAACATGGCAAAGAATAATACCGCCTGACAGACCTTTAGCTCCACCAACGCACGTACGTTTACACGTCGTTTAGAACGACCTTAGTTGGGGCTTAGTAAAAGGTTTGTTGAGAGGTATATTTGAATTCAAATTCAATTGTTTACATTTTACTTATGTTATAAGTTTACAGTTGAAAATTAGGTAGTGAAGATATTTTGTGAGACACAATGATATTTTAAAGACACGTATAACACACTGATCTCTACTATAATAGCTGGATTGCTCATCCACCAATCTATGTACAGAAGAAAGTGAGGCCACCGACGTCATGTTGGAGGGCATAAGTGCAAGTTTAGACTGGATTCTTTTGTCTTTTGTTTAAATTATTGCTCAAAATAGCGGTTCTTGCAATTCCTTTCAATAATATAATGTAAGACTTTTTTTTTTCAAATCATCTAACATCGCAGAAATCCTGTCCCTGTCTATATTTCATACATCGCTACAGTCTCGTAGGGTATACATAAATGACGTCAAATAATTCTACAAAACTTCTCCATAACATTATTTTTCAATTCTGTTAGTCCCCTGAGATAATTATCTAACTCGGAATACGGTATTCGATTTTGAGTCTTCGTAATTTATTTGCTAATCTTTTTTTTTAATGCAACCTACATGCATTAAATTTTAATCCGTAACCAGGTACAATTTGGAATCGAAACATCCTTATTACATTGTATTGATTAACTGCTGTTCGACTATTTAATTAAATAATTGTTTAGTGACGTCATTTAATTACAAATCCCTTAAAGTTTGTTTCACTTCACTGTAGGTGTAAATTATCAAAAATAATCACAGAAATAATAAATATAATATTAACAATAATACCAATATAAGTAATTGCTAAAGTGATTCCATAACATATTTCAAAGAAATTACCAAAATATTTAAATACATCTATTATAATATACGTATACAAATATATACGTATTAGGTCACACACTTAACAAATCAACGATTCATCTGGATCTCAAAACTTAAAATGAAGAGTTATTAGGGAAATTACGACCTACCTAACAAAATCAAACATTTACTGGAAATTTTTTATAAATACACATAATGTTTACTTTAGAGTTTACTCTCTAATCAATACTAACATCGCCCGTCCATTTCTTGCTGGACAAAAATAACTTTATCCAATCATTCCCTATGCTTTCCAAAATAAAATTAAATAATGAAGATAATAATGCAAAAAATATAATGGAAAACATAAAAAAAAACCAAATAAACCAAATTTTAATTGGTACTTTACGGACAGAACTTGAAATAAAATAAAAAATATCGTCGAAGCTTACGTTACAACTACAATGCCATTTAAATAGAGGGCAGTAAACTGCAATCTAGAGATGTGACAACATTGTGTTGGTAAATTTTATTTATAACTGAAGATTTTATTGACGTAATAAGCCATTTTGTTTTGAGTTTTGAGTGTGCATACGTATGTAAAAATAAATCCGGACATATGTTTATGATAGTTTACCTGTGCATATAGAACTACTTTTGGTTCACTGTAGAAATGCTTTATTTAATGTTGAGATGAGTAAATTAGACAATTTTTATTAAGTATTCCTATTCTCAAAGTACGTTCCTATTTTAAGCAATAAAGAAGAATTCCGTCATCTGATTTATTATTATTATTATTATTATTATTATTATTATTATTATTATTATTATTATTATTATTATTATTATTATTATTATTATTATCATTATCATTATTATTATTATTATTATTATTATTATTATTATTATTATTACTCGCGGAAATGCCGGTGGCCTTTCGCGAGGCTGTGGGGCACTGGGGGAGGGTGCAGACATTTTCAGGAGGGGTAAAGAAAGAAGGGAACTTCTGTATAAATAAATACGTAAGTTTAAATGACTTGGGGAACCGTCTTCAGTCTTGTCGCCCTCTCATCTTTTGATAGACTTAAAATCCCCCACTCCACCAACGACAAAAGAAGAAAATAAGTACACATTTGTACACTTTGTTGTCAGTTAAAAAACACTGTAACATTTCAAGAGTGGTGGAAGGTCCAGACGTCGAAGACAATCACCCCCATGGATCCACCCAGGAGTATAATTTAAATAACATTTTGTGAAGCCCAGTCTGCCAAATAATGCAAGTATTGAAATAACAGAATGTTCTAAAGCATAATATTAAATACAGCTACGCGTCAACTATAATTTTAGTTGGAGCTTTGCAAATGAAAGTCGAATTACCGTTTAAATAAAGAAGAACATGAGCCAATAATAATTTTGTTTATAATGTTAAAGTAAGTAAGATAGGCCTACTGGTATTAAGAATAGTTTTTAAAAGTGGATTATACAATATATGCTAAAATGTTGTGATTGATGTAGACATTTCTTATTCGTCACGTATTGACTTATTTTAGTGATTTATATGGTCACTTAATAATTATTCTATTATTTAGTAAACATATACGCGTTTGTATCAGCAGCACTCACTGGAACGTTCCACTTACCTACTACATACTGAATACTCTGCTGCTCCTTTCACAGTACTGTACTAACGTAATTTGAATAATGAACTCTCACATGTGTTGTTTTTGTAGTATGACAAGTCCTCGTCCAATATTTTGTAGATTCGCAAAAAATAGTTTTTTACGATATTTTAATAGACATAAATAGGAACTGAAAATATGCCAATAATGGTAAGACATTTAAAAGAATGGCGCTACGATATTATTTCTTCCAGAGAGCTGTACACGCGTCTTGACGGTAAATCGGCACAAACATTTTGTCCTTACTCAAATTATAATAATAATAATAATAATAATAATTATTATTATTATTATTATTATTATTATTATTATTATTATTATTAGTATTATTACTTTTATTATTATTATACGATAATTTAAATGGTTTGAAAGACAACGGCTGAAGTTACAACATGACCAATAATTAAAAATTTAATAACGGTTTAACTATTTAATGTTTTATTATTTGAATTATTATTATTAGTTCAGCACCACAAACAGTATGTATAAGTTCTACTGTTTTCTCTACTCTCTCCGTTCCACGCGCCTCAGGATATTGGTTAAGTAACAATTATTGTTGTGTCTTCTTAATAATGTGACCATTATAATAATAATAATAATAATAATAATAATAATAATAATAATTATTATTATTATTATTATTATTATTATTATTAGTATTATTACTTTTATTATTATTATTATTGTTATTATTTATATTATTATTATTATTATTATTATTATTATTAATTATTATTATTATTATTATTATTATTATTATTATTATTATTATTATTAACTATAGCCGATATAGTGAGTGTGACAATCTTTTCTGATTGTGATTAGAATTATAACTGTTATTATAAATAAATTATTTACTGTTACGAGTAAATAAAAAAGAAGCTTATTGATCATTACCATTATCTTCATCCTTGTCATTTCTATAGTTCTCAATACCATCATTATATAGTCTTTCTCATCGTCGTCATAATCATTATCGTCATTATAATCATTATCATTTTTTTCTTTTGAGCAAAACAAATTGCTATAAAATGTGATTGTGAGGAAAAATATTAAAACTTTATAAAAAGACCTTGTTTAGGCCTAAACAATATTATTATTTGCATAACTGTGACGTATCTTTATTTTGGAAAAAAAAGCATATTCCAAATATAAATCACTAATGCTTGGTGAAATTTTTTTGCCTTGGCCGATGTACTTGACCACTTCCGTATAAATCCCGGGACACAATACTCTTTTTCTTGAACGGAACTTCCTGAACCAGGAATGACCAATCGGAATTGTCTGATATCAACAGACAAAAAGACAAAAAGATTACTTCCAAATACTAATTTAGTAAGTGTTAGTTTAACGTCTCAAGGCAATTATTTTTTTTAAATACTGAACAATAACGAAAAGGTAAATAAGGTCATTTGCAATCGCAATCTGAACCAAGTTTGTCAACACATAAAACGCCTAACGGATAATTTCATATCGTTTGTGTCTGATTATTAACAATTAACCTTAGTAGGTGACCTGCATATTTGAGGTGCTTTAAATAATACTAAAGTATTGATATAGTAGTACCATGGTAACTAATACTAATAAGCATTGGTGTCAAGTATTTAAAGAGTTGTGCTGTATATTAGAATCCACAAGTCTTCAATTCAGTTTTTTATGTATCAAGGCCATTGTGATATTAGAACAATTTTTGAGATGGTACTAATTGATCATTGTAGTAGATTGATCATTAGTAGTATAGCGCGGCTAATAACACGTAGGAGTACAGTATGTATGTATGCCGTGAAGATCACTGGCTTATTTCTGTCCCTGATTACATTAGACTATAGCTAGATGACTATAATAGAAGTAATAAGAAAGTGGCCTTTAGAAAGAAGCATATAAACCACAAGATCACATGATGGTCCTGATTCATTTTTGTCACTGATTACATTATATTATATGTAGAGAACTATAAGTTGATAAAGTGGCCTTTCGAAAGAGGCTTCTAATCTGCTGGTCACAATACATGTCCTCCAACATAGGCAGGTAAACACTTTCAAGAACTGTTGATAAATATCGATTGCCTTGCAATCTGTGACCTATCATCTGTTTGATTTACTCCATCAGTGGTGATGAAAAGACAATCAAAATTAAAGTAATATTCGATCTACGATCTAAAAAAATTGCCAACTTAAAATAAACTATTTTAAATCAAAAAGCAGTTATTTTAAAAGTTGGAAAAAGTATATGATTGTAATAATTGCAATAATTTTGCATTACCGTATATATATATATATATATATATAATATATATATATATATATAGAGAGAGAGAGAAAATTTAAAAATTAATTTAAAAAAATATATCGTCACTCACATTACGCTAACACAATGCACTCCTGTCTCTTATACACATCTAGATGTGTATAAGAGACAGATATATATCTGTTTAAAATATGATATTGAGTAAAGAGAAAGACAAAACTCCAGTTCATGCTTGAATGATATACTGGAATGTTTGTACGAAGAAAATGTAAACTATTTAATAAACAACTTTTAAACGGGGATCATGTCTATTGATGTTAAGAACAGCCAATGAAATGGGCTCTTAAGCAAGCATAATAGAAACTAGGCTATTGATCCAGTGACCATAATGCTGCATTCAGTGTTTCAATCGAAATAGCTTTCTTGAAAACGGATTTGCGTATTAAAGAGTAAAAAGATAAACCACGCATTTTTTTTAATCGGCATTTTAGAAACTGTGACAACGTGCAACAGAATCGCTTTGGAAAGCAGTTGACATCTTTTGCTTGGCTTTATATTTGTTGCTATTATGGGTTCCTGTTGTAAATTTTCTTTTTTTGTTTTGCTCCTTCAGTTCGGAATGATGTATGCCATTACATTTCGACAAGGCCCACAATCAACCCATGTCCACGAAGGAGAGCAAGCCGTCCTAACATGCGCAGTGGATGACAAAAAGGCTGGTAACTTTGTATTCTGGCATCTTGTTGAGGAAAATGCATACATCAGTTACGATAGCAGCGTTTACCCAGAAATTGAGACCGGGAGGTTTTCTGTTACAGGAGACTACAGCAACGGGGAATTCAACTTAGTAATTTTTGAGGTGAGTGCCCAAGACGTGGGAACGTACCAATGCGGGTTTTATTTTAATAACGGCACACGAAGCGAGTTCATCTTTAAAGAAGCGATTGTTTCGCTTATAATCCCACCATCGCCATTCTACCCACAATGTAGTTGGTCCAGCCGAAGCATGTATCCCAAACCAGGAGATACCATCTCATTGGGGTGTATATCTTTCGGTGGGATTCCGGCAGCTTTGCTCTCGTGGTGGAAAAACGATACAATGATGATGGAGCCAAAGAGTAATATTGCCTCACTAACGCATATTCTAATACCAGATGATAACGGTGCCAAGTTTTTCTGTTTTGCAACTGGACTAGCGTTACCTAAACCAAGATTATGCATGGTTGTTCCTATGACTATTCCACCAACTGTTGAAGTACATATATCGGACCCTAGCCCTTTGTTATACAGCGAGCTAACCATCAATTGTGTGATCAATGTCGTAGGGTCTATTCAACATATTCATTGGTACTGGGAAGGGGAACGTATTGTAAAGGACTCAAAGAACAGACTCTCAATCATAATGGACGGCGAAAGGATAGTAATACCAAGTACAAAACCATCAGACAACAACACTCTAGTCTCATGTTTTGTAACAACAAATTCGGGCCTACATGGTAACGGCTCAGTAAGAATCGAACTATCAATGGATCAATCAGTATCAACAACAGTGACAGATATCAAGCACCAATCTTTACCTAAAGCGCCCTCAGGAGAAACCGATTTAATTATACCTGTGACTCTAAGTGTTATAGTTATCCTACTTGCCGTCATATTTATTAGTATTTTCGTAAAACGTATACAGACGAGAGAGGAACGACAGGACGGGAAGCATATGACGAAAAATAGCATCATGAAGGATACGTTAGGAAACTCAAAATCGAATGGAAATCGACACAACAGGAAAAGAGTGACCTTTAACCTTTCGAATATATCACCGAAACTGACATCGTCAAAGTTTACTCGAATCAATAGAATGAAGGCGATTGTTAAAAATAATCCCGACAAATATATAGAAACTGAGGAACACAACGAAGGATTTGTGGAAGATCATGGAATTCAAACAATATCTCACAGAGAAGACCTTGTTTACGCTGAACTTTCTCTGGATCCAGTAGATTCTAACTCGTCACAAATAACTGACAATACGGAGCATGTCACGTACGCCGAACTTAGGATCTGAATCGGGACGTGCTCTTAAATTATATTTTCTAGGACTCAAAGATTCTGACCAGATATTTGAAAAATATATATAAAAAATACCGGCAGCTGACAGCACTCACTGTAAACGGACCTATAAATGATTTATTATAACTAATAATCGTAATAATAAAATCGTAGGCCTAATATCATTCCACATGAAATGTTTGAAACGAACGGTACCGTCTTGGTACGAATAACTTTAAACATTTAAAGACAGAGCCTGGGTTAATGTAGATAACCATGGTTTTTAGAAAATATTTTCATTTTTTTAGGTTAGTGGGTGAGAAAAATGTTACCGTAGCAATAATTTAAAAAAAGAAAAATGAGTATTACTCAAAAGAGGCCTGGAGCCTTTGTATTATAACGATGTAAAAATGTATAATTCAAAATGTTTTTCTGTTTTAAAACAATTAATTTTATTTTAACTTCCTATGACTTATCAGAAAACAAATTTATTATATTTCTGCAATAATGATATTATTATATATAACTGTAATGACAATGCAATATGCTGGGCTTAGAAAAAATGTTTATAAATAAAGTTGAAACATTAAATTTGCCACTTGTGTGATTCTTCATGATTATGAGTATGACTTTTCTATACCGTAGTGATGTGAGAACAAAACATTAATGTAATTTTTTATACCGTAGTTATATATGCACATCCACAGATTTAGCCAGGACAACAATAAGTTATTGAATTATGTATCATTGCTAAAACGATGCGTCTGTGCCCTTAGTACAATCTATATACCAGTAATTCATATTATCTTTAACGAGGGCAAAATCCCATCAGTTTCACACACTGCTTTTCATTAAGGCCCTCAAACAACAACAACAATAATAATAGCAACAACAACAACAGCAGCAGCAGCAACAACAACAACAACAAACAACAACAAACAACAAGAACAACAAGGACAACAACAACAACAACAACAACAATAGCAATAATAATAATAATAAATAAATAAATAAATAATAATAATAATAATAATAATAACAATAATAATAATAATATAGGTTTTTAATATAGTGCCTTTTAATAATCTCTGAGAGCGCTATTACACACAAAAACGAATAAAGTGAAAAAAAACCCAAATTAAATATTTAAAAAATGCTTTTTTATTCGGTCCTTAAACATATTCAAAGACGTTGCCTCCTAATTAAATATTGAGAGCTGGTTCCATAATAATGGTACACTGGAAGAAGAAGATCAAAAGCCATATTTTGTTTTAGATGTTCCGGTGTAAGAACCATTCGAGAAGAGGATCTAAGTAACGGCAAGGCTTGTAAGGAGATACAAGTTCAAATATTTATTGTAGTGCTTTACCCTGAAGGTTAACCTTATAAGTTAAAAGAAGGACTTTGAAAATGATTTGTTTTTCTACAGGTAAGCAATGAAGAGAGCGCAATGCTGATGACATACAGTCACGTAACTTGAAGGCTGGTAGACCATACAGTAAACTATTATAACTGCCAATTATAGAACTTAAAAAAGCGTGCACCAACGCCCGTATTCTTAAAACAAACTTTAGTCGAACTTCGAACTAGAATTTAATTTAGTGCTAGTTGCAACTTCAACTTCAATTTGTATTCACAAACATCGTAGTCAAAGTCCTAGTTTTAGTTCAACTGAAGACGACTGGCAAGCCACGACTATCAAGCTAACCAATGAAAAGGGCTAACTTTAACAGCAGACAAAATTTTAGAGATCAGGTAAAGCGAATAAATATTAGACCATCATTCTCTTAATTTTCTATAATAATAACTATACTAGTTGTTAACATATTACGATTTGAACAGTCACTGAAAATTTGCTTTCTTTGGAGAACTATTATAATTGAGCACGAGCGAGGGCGGCGCCATCTTTGTTGTTGTTATGGTGAAGCTAGGTGATCGCAACGCGAGGGGATTTCGTGCAAATCAGGAACTATCGCATGTGGCTAGCAAAACATGTTAATTTCTCCTTTTGGAAGCTAAAATTGATGTCTCTTAACACACCTAAGATATATCAAACCTGCGTATACAATCGTTTGTATTCGTTTCACTTTATCGTGAGTTACAAAAACACGTTTTATGTGAGGTAAATATTTTAAGTCGGCGATTTAGCCTGACCCTAGGCTGACTAAAGAAAATCGGCCAGCGAAGGTATCATTTTTGTCGAGGTTCGCGTCATTTAGTCGTAGTGCTAGTCCAAGTTCGTTTTAAAAATACGAAATGACGTAATTTTTAAGTTTTAGCTCGAACTACGACTAAAGTTTGTTTTAAGAGTACCGGGGATAGTCTTTTCGTGGTGTTGTTATCTAATTCTAATAATAATTGTTATCTAAATCTAATAACTTCCTAATTCTACCTATTTTGTAGATAGCGAAGTTTGCTAAACGACAGATCATGAGTTGCATTATTATTAAACAATAACTTTTCACCTATCATAACTCTAAGGCCGGGTACTCACTGCGTGCGACGACGAACGCACGCGACAGCACGTATCCAACGGACTGCTTTTTTAACGAGGATCCGTTCAGACTGCCATTAGGCATTTTTCGTTTTGACTACGCGGCCAATTTACTACGAACTAATAGAGCGTAACGGACATCTGCGCATGCTCACAAACCTTACTGGCTAAATCGGCGTTGTGACAGCTTCCGCGACAACCCCAATTTCTGAATTTGGCGTAGTGGCGACTACCCTAATA